TCCCTATGGGGTATTTTCGCTTTGCGATGATCGCAGGGAAGCGATCATCGCAAAGCGCCCATTTTCGCACAGCTGATCGGCAGTTTCAAAATGGCCACCGGGTAAACAAAATGGCTGCACACTGTTTTCAGGCACGGATTCCTCGCTTTAGAGGCACTGAAAATGGAGGCGCTATGGAGGATCTTCACTTAAAGGTGAGTTTTAAGCCCATAGGAACGCATTAATCATTTTTAATGCGTTTCTATGGGCTTTTTAAAATCGCTTAGCGGTTATCGCTTAGCAGCAATTTTTCTACACGAATTAACATCGCTAAGCGAGGCACCGCTGTATAACTTACACTTAGCTGAGTTGAAAGTTCTTTAGTCAACCATTCTGGTTTCTTTAGAGACTATCTGTGTGTGGACCAATCCGGGGAGTGACAGGTCATCCAGGCAGGGATACAGCTGCACAATTAGTCTGAGAGGGAAGTGAGCGGATCGGACCATTGGCACCATCTGGTTCAACATTGATGGCATTGGGTCCAGAAGGACACCCAGTGAGTGTTGGGAACCATGCAAATCACAGACATCAGGGGCACCCAGTTGGAAGACACACACACCCCGTCTTGTTTGGATTCAGCCTCAGTCTACTGTCCCTTTTATCCTCCCATTGAAGGAGAAGGTGGGGACAGAACTGAGGTTACCTCTTAATCGATTATCACAAGAGTTTTAAGTAAAAGTTGATGGTACAGACCAAAATCGCCCACTCTGGCATGTCTGTTCAGGGGGAAGAAGAAGGGAGCCTTGGAGGGGAACCCACACACACACACCCCAAATCAGGATGACCAAGGTTTGCCTCTTGTCAAGAGGACCTGACCTTGGTGAGCATGGGCTTGGGGTGGGCAGGATTGAGATTTTATTTAAAAAATACACCTAAATAAGATACAAAGAAAACCGTACCCCCAAACACCACCACTTTGCACATGCTCAAAGAAGAACTGTTGTGTCATGGAAGGAGTACCAGACTAAAAACCAGGAGGCCTGGATTCAAATCCCTGCAGGGCCAGGGAAACTGAGAGGGGAGAGAGAGTGGAAGGGGGGGGAAGGCTACTTCAGCCACCTCTTGAAATCCCACTGACCTGGCAAACGTTGGGAGGGATCTGGGATATGGTTCTTCCTTTTTGGTCCCCCCAAA